ACTCTTTCTGCTTAGCAACCACCCCCACTCCCCAGGCCCGTCCTTTTAATTAACAACCTGTCACTGTATTTCAGTGTTTCTGTTGAGGCACACCAAGTGAGCCATGAAAAGTCAAAACATATCCCTTCACATAAAAACAACATTTGCTGAACTTCTCATACAATTGGGCTGGTCAGATGAACTGCTTCTCGGGGACCAGAAATCGAACCTAGGTGAGCTTATGTGAAAGACTGAATCAAAGTGCGCAGAGAGTGAGATTGGCAAGGGGTGAGGGTAGCAGGGCAGAGTTACAGGACCAAAAGTTGATATATAGAGAGAGAGAAAGAGAGAAAGGAAAGGAGAGGGAGAGAGAGAGTGAAACATTGATCAGCTGCCTCTTGCAACCACCCTACTGAGGATCCAGAGGATTGAGCCTGCAAACCGGGCATGTGCCCATCTGGGAATTGAACTGGAAACCTTTCCATGCACGTGATGATGCCCAAACAACGGAGTCACACCAGCCAGGGCTGGACACTTACTTTAAACCTCCTCTTTTGTGCCTTAAAGCCCCAGTGCCGCATAGCTGACACCTGACAGATGTGAATTTTGCATAAGTTCATTCATGTGTTCCATCAGCACGTAACGATTAACTTCTAACATATGCCCAGTATGCTCTAGGGCTGCAGCAGTGAGCACGGCATCTGCCTCAATGCTGCTTACATACTGGCAGAGGAGAAAAATCAAAAACAAATAAAGAAACTGTTAACTATAATTCAGGTTTGATAAGTGTCAATAAGGAGTGAAGCGGAGTTCGGACATAATAGTAGGTGATGGCGTGTGTGTGTGAGGGTGTGTACAGTATGTGTGTTTCCATTGGCCAATTCAGCTAGCTCCATCCAGGAAGGCGGCTCAGAAGGAGGGACATTTGAACAGACAGACCTGAGTGAAATGAGAAGTGAGTTAAGTGAGTGTCCCTGAGCTACATGGAAACCACACATCACCATTATTACGAACTGACCTAAGTCAGTTAGGTCACGGTGCACAACTGTTAGGTTCTTGATAGTTGAGGATAGCTACTGAGAGAAAATGGAGGTAAATAAAGGTAAACTACTCTCCTGCAACTGTCCTCGGAGTTTGTAAAGAAAGCAAATCTACCAAACCCGGTCATTCATACAGAAATGTATTAAGAAATGTTTTACTACCAGATTCAAAGAGTATACACAAACTGATGCACTCAATGGAGACCCAGTACTCTGTCCTTTTAGGAACCCTGAGTAAGGCGGTCACTTGGAGTAGAGGCCACAGCACTTCAGAGACATGAGCTGTTTCACTGAAACCCAGCAACAGGCGAACAGAGCTCCTCCTAAGCAATGCACAGACTGTATAGGATTAAGCCTCAGGACCCATCCTTAAGGCTACGCACGTGTGATGGTTAATTTTATGTTTCAACTTGGCTAGGCTATGGTGCCCAGAAGCTTGGTCAAACACCAAAGTGTTTCTGTTACTGTGGAAGTATTTTAAGATGTGATTAACACTTTAATTAGTAAACTTTGTGTAAAGCAAATGACTCTCCATGGTGTTGGTGCGCCTCATCCAATCAGTTGAAGGCTCTAAGAGCAAAGGCCAAGATAATCTTAAAGAAGAAGGAATTCAGACCCCGGCCTGCAACATGGAGATTCTGCCTGAATTTCCAGCCTTTCAACTCATGGATTGATTCAAGAGTGGCAACAATAAGTCTTACTTGAATTACCAGACTGCCCTGCCCTTCAGATTTTTGGAGTTGCTGTCCACCACAATCACATGAGCCAATTCCTTGAAATCTCTCCCCTCCGCCCCCACCATTGGTTTATTTCTCTGAAGAACCCTGAACTCATACAGATTTTAGTCCTGGGAAGTGGGGTGCAGGTGTAACAAATACCTAAAAGTGTAGGAATGGCTTTGGAATTGGGTAAGAGTAGGGGCTGGACAAATTTAAAGTGCACAATAGCAAAAGCTTGGATTGCCTTAAAGA